ATAGATAGATAGATAGATAGATAGATAGATAAAGTAAATTTAGGCCAATCACCATTTACTGAAGACACTTAAAAAGCTGAATGGCAGTCAGGCGTGGTGACTCATGCCTGTAATCCCAGCACTTTGGGAGGTCAAGGTGAAAGGATTGCCTGAAGCCAGGAATTCAAGACCAGCCTGGGAAACTTGGCTAGACCTCGTCTCTATAATAAGTTAAAAAAAAAAAGTTGGGCGTGGTTGTGCACACTACTTGGAAGGCTGAAGCAGAAGGATAGCCTGAGTCCAGCATGTTGTGGCTGCAGTGACTGTGAGCATGCCACTGCACTTCAGCCTAAGCAACAGAGTGAAACTTCAACTCAAAAAAAAAAAAAAATTAGTATTTGCAAAGTCATATCTTAGAAGACTTATATTTACCAGTTATAACCAAGAGTAGAGTCATAAAAGTTTCTGCACAGTCTGGAACTTTCAATTCATCCACATCAGTTATATCCTTATATTGAGATACCCAGGCAGCTTCTGATGAAAGCATTGAGTCCATTTTTTGAAGAGCAACTGACATGCAGAAAAAAGGATTATGTCAATTAAGTAGTCACAGTAAATCCTAACTTTTCAACTTACAATTTTTTTTTTTTTTTTTTTGAGTTGGAGTCTCACTCTGTTGCTTAGACTGAAGTGCAGTGGCATGCTCACGGCCACCGCAGCCTCAACCTGCAGGGCTTAGGTGATCCTTCTGCCTCAGTCTTCCAAGTAACTGGAACTATAGGTGTGCACCACACCTGGCTAATTTGTTGATTTATTGTAAAGAAGAGGTCTCGCCAAGTTCCCCAGGTTGGTCTTGAACCTGTGGGCTCAGGCAATCCTCTCGCCTCCACCTCCCAAAGTGCTGGAATTACAGGCATGAGCCACCACACCCGGTTTAAGGAGTCCACTTCTGTCTGTCCACACACTCTGCCCCCCGTCCTGACCCCACGTGGCTCTGCCCCTACCTGCCCCTGCCAATCAGAGGTGTTGACAAGAATGATGTTTTCAGGAAGCTGGTCGTCAGAGATGAGGATGTGGTTGAGCTGGTCGTACACAGTCTTCCTGGGGATCTGGGGACAGAGGCTCGTCCACACCCAGAAGAGACACAGCTCCTGTTTCCACTCCCCACCCCAGCCCTGGTGCCAGTGGCACCCCTGTCTCCCTTGTAGCCACAGCAGCTCAGGAAGGGGAGAGTTGGTCACCACAGTGGACACCCCTGGGCTACATAGCCAAGCACTGGGGCTGCCTCAGCCAAGGGAGGCATAGGACAGCTGGAGTGCGCCCAGGGTCCCCACAGACTTTCCGACAAGCTAACCCATGAACCTCCACCCCACTTTGTGGCTGGTGCCCACCAGAGCCCAGGCATGCTTGCAGATCTGGCTCCTCTCTGCCCTGCCGGATCCCAAGGGCCCTGCCTACCAGGGAATGCCCCTGTCTACCCTGCTCACACCTGTAGCTGGCTCCGTGAGTCAGGGCAGCGTTCGTTGTCCAGGCTGTTGGCTCGCTCATTCTGGGGCCGTGCCGGCTGCCGCTCCTTTAGGGATGTGCTCCGGCCCCGGCGGCCAGCCTGCTTCCCCTCAGACCTGTCAGGGACCAAGACAGGCTTGGGGAGGGAACGGTGGGGCACCAGGGCTGGGGCAGGCCAGGCCATGGGTGCCTCAACCGGGCTGCCTGTGGTAGCTGCCCCAGGGAAAAGAGTTGCTCAGCGAGGGGCGGGAAGAAACGCGTAGGGTCACCCAATGGGCAGTGAGTACCCTGACATGGGGCCCCCTTGCCTGTGGGTCAAGACAGGGGAGCCTTGGGGCCACCCCCCCTCCTGGGTCAAGGGTTGGGGTGGAGCCAGGTGCAGGTCAGCGCTCCTTGGGCCCTGACAGACACCCAGATGCCCCCACCCAGTAAACACCAGTGCCTAGACTTGGTTCTAGAAAAGTCACAAATATCACAGACACTTAAACTCAGTTTCTGCCGGCACCAATGCAGTTGCTGTGTCTCCCTTCTGGCCCAGGCAAGGGTGCCAACGGGGCATCCAGGGGCCTGTGGGTGCCTGCAGGGACTGCGGCTCCTATGGGTGGCATCTGAGCTGTAGCTTCAACAGCAAATGCTGGGCTAATGGTTTCATCTCCTGTTTCTTGCTTTACTTTCTTTCCTTTTTTTTTTTTTTGAGTCAGGATCTCACTCTGTCACCCAGGCTGGAGTGCAGTGGCATGATCACAATGATCATGGATCATAGCTCATGGTAGTCTTGACTTACTGGGCTCAGGAGATCCTCTCCCCTCAGCCTCCTGAGGGGAGCGTAGCTGGGACTACAGGTACCCACTGCCATGCCTGGCTAATTCTTTGTTTTTTTGTAGAAATGCGGTCTCACTTTGTTGCCCAGGCTAGTCTTGAACTCCTGGACTCAAGTGATCCTCTCACCTTTGGCCTCCCAAAGTGCTAGTGTTACAGGCATGAGCCACTGCACCTGGCCTTGTTTCCTGTTTCTGTGAGAGGCAGTAGGCAGCTGGCCAAGAGGGCAGAACCATCACTGGGAAGGCACATGTACAGCATCATGGGAGGGCCTGTGCCATAGCCAGGCTTACACAGTGATGCCCAAGATGCCCAGCACACAGGCTTTGAAACCAGAGTGGGGAGTCCTAACTGCCACAGTCAGGCCAGGAAGAGGCTGGAGAACAGAGGTACCCACTCAGCTCTGCTGTCCCTCGAGGCAGCCCACCCCTGAGGGAGGGGGTGGCCCACGAGCTGCAGGGTGGGGAAAGCCCAGTGAGATGCCGGAAGAGGGGTTGGGCAGCAGCTCTAGGCCAGGTCAGGAGCTGAGGCACGAGCTGGAGGTGGCATCTGCTGTGGTGGCCGAAGGCCTGGTGGTGGCAGTGGCTGGGCACTGAGCCAACTGAGAAAGGGAGGAGCTGTCGTACCCAAGGAAGGCCCAGCAGAGGACAGAGGCAGGGACAGCAAGTAATTCCCAGTAAAGGGACTCAGAGAGAGGCACACGGGTGGGAGGTGGTGGGAGGCTGGCCTGGCCAGCCCCACACAGGGTCTTGGGGATGCCCCTGGTGATTATGCTGGGCATGTGGGGAAAAGGGAGTGAGAGGCCCTGGGTGCACCTGCCAGAAGCCAGTGGCAGAGGCACGGCCTTGGACCATGCCACCCCTCACCGCCTGCCTCCCTGGGACTAGTCCCGCCTGCCTTGCCACCTTCTTCATCCCTGCAGCCCCGCCCAGCAGAGCCCTGTGTGACCCATCAGAGCCCTGCCCACCAGCACAGGGCCCCTGTCACCTGGTAGAGGGTATGACCAGAGACTCTGTCTTGGTTATCCTCCCACTGGGCGGCAGTCTCTCTGTGAACACGTCCAGAGTGGAGGTCTCCCCCTCGGGACTGTCCTCAGGCTGCCCCGGTTGTTCCCGTGGGGCTGGTGAGCCCTGCATACAGAAACAGAGCCCTGGGGCACCTGCCACAGACACGCTGGGCCCTCTGCCTGCTGCTCTGGTCTAGGTGAGGGTTTAGGCCTCTCTGATAAGGGGCTCCTACACGGGACCTTGCCACTTGCTGCCCAGGGGAGCCTGGCTGACCTTGGCTCCAGTCGTGAAGCTCCCATCCAGGCTATATGGGGAGACAGCATGAAGGACCTAATCTACCCCCACTCAGGCCACACCCTGGAAGAGACCCCATGTGAGGTCAGCTAGAGCAGGAAAGTGTTTATGGGACATGTGTAGCAGGGAAGCCAGGAACGTCTAGCCCCGAGTGGGGTGAATTTGGGGAGCCTGGATCAACCCCAAAGGTGAAATGGATCTGGGGAGCCCTGACTGACCCCAAGGGTGGGGTGAATCTGGCATGCCCTGACTCTGAGAGTGGGGTAAATTTGGGGTACCTTGACTGACCCCAGGGATGAGGTGAATCTGGGGGGCACTGACTGACCCCAGGGGTGGGATGAATCTGGGAAGCCCTGACCCCAAGAGTGGGCGAATTTGGGGAGAGTGAGGTGAATCTGGAGTACCCTGATCCACCTCGAGGGTGGGGTGAATCTGAGGTACCCTGACCAATCCCGAGGGTGGGGTGAATTTGGAGAGCCCTGACTGACCCCAAGGGTGGCGTGAATCTCGGGAAGCCCAACCACTTGGCAGCCTGGCCACTCTGAGGGTTGACCTTGGCTCTGCAAATGAGGTGCGGCATGAGGACCTACATGTGGGGCCCACCCTGCAGGTCAGACCCCCTAAAGGCAGCACTGGAGGGCTGGTTGTGAGAGTGAGGACTCAGCCACGCCTGCTTACAAGGGCCACCATGTCGGAGACGCTATCACTTGGCTGCTTGCTTCCCAGGGACTGTGTCTTCTCAGGTGCGTCAGCCTGGGGGGATGAGATGGAAATCAGCCTTGCTCTGGATGGGATCTGGGGTTCCAAGAGGCCCAGGAGAGGATAGGAGCCTTCTGGACAGGGAGCTTGTGGAAGGGCTCCAGCACAGTCAAGCAGGGCCTGAGTCCACGATGCTGGGGACGCAAAACACTCACCGGGCTTGGGGGCTCCCTGTGGCTGCGGGCACTGTGGATGCTCCCGATCTCCGTCTGTGAGCTGGAGTGCGACAGGCCTTCGAAGTACGGCCTGGTTTGGGGAACGGGGAACACATTATTGTCCAGGACCTTCTGGCACTGAAGCGCAGCTTGCCCACTGTGCCTGGAGGGACAGGCTGGGGTCTCAACAGCAGGAAAGAACTAGGTCCAGAGAACAGCCTGTACCATGCACACCCCTGCTGTGACCACGGCTCAGGATAGATGCTTAAGCCAGGCTGGCTTGGGGTCACTCCTTGCTCCTTCACCCACTCTGCAATTGGTTCCAGAAAACAAATGCCCCTGAAGCTGCTTGCTCAGGCCTTAGCTCCAGGCAGGGCTGCTGGCAACCCAGCAGAGGAGCTGGTGAGAGATTGAGCCCTGGGATCTGCAGCCAGAGGGGCTGGAGCCCTGGAATCTGCAGCCAGCCTGCAGGAACACACTCAACAGCACAAGAATTTTCCAGAGCAACCAGACCTTTCTACCCAACCAGGATGATTCATACCAACTAGGATGATCCTCGCCAACCAAGACGATCCACACCAACCAGGGCAATCCACACCAACTGGGACAATCCACACCAACTGGGACAACCACACCAATCAAGATGATCCACACCAACCAGGAAGATCCACACCAACTGGGACGATCCATACCAACTGGGATGATCCACGCAAACCAGGATGATCCACATCAACCGGGACAATCCATACCAGCCACAATGATCCACACCAACTGGGACGATCCATACCAATCATGGTAATCCACACCAACCTGAATGATCCACACCAAATTGGATGATCCATACCAACCTGGACAATCCACACCAACTGGGACGATCCATACGAACCAAGACGATCCATACCAACCAAGATGGTTCATATCAACTGGGATGATCCACACCAACCAGGACAATCCATACCAACCACAATGATCCACACCAACTGGGACAATCCATACTTATCACGATGATCCACACCAACCTCAATGATCCACACCAAACTGGATGATCCATACCATCCTGGACAATCCACACAACTGGGACGATCCATACCAATCACGATGATCCACACCAACCTCAATGATCCACACCAAACTGGATGATCCATATCAACCTGGATAATCCACACCAACTGGGACGATCCATACCAACCAAGATGATCCATATCAACTGGGATGATCCACACCAACTGGGATGATCCACTCAACCAGGACGATCCACCCCAACAGAACAATCCATGCCAATCAGGACAATTCACATTAACCAAGATGATCTCCACGAACTAGGGCTTCTGAACCTACCAGCCCTTTCCTAGTTGACAGGCCAAATGTTCCCTTCCTTAACAGATATAATATGAGTGAGTAAAAAGAGAGGGAGATACCTACTGATTCAAAGAGACCTAAAAGACCTTTCAAGGTAAAAAAATTATATGGACTCCTACACTGTGGTGCGACAAGGCCACAGGACACATTTTGTGGCTGTGTACGCATACTCAGGACCATGGGCCTAAGATGCCCATGCTTCATCCAAAACTGTAAAAAGAGCTGGTCAGAGGGTCTGCAGACGTAGCCAATGGCATGGAACTTAAGATGAGAGATAATGTGGATTATGTGGGTGTGCCCTGTGGACTCACAAGAGCCATTAAGGCAGAAAACTTTCTCTGGTGAAAGCAATAGATGAGGCAGGAAGTTCAGAGAGACCAAAGCATGAGGGGCCTTGACTAGGCCTTGTTGGTTCTGAGGGTAGAAGAGTGTCATGAGCTAAGATGTGTGGATGGCCTCTGTCCTGTGGTTCACGGCAGTAAACGCCATCAGTGGTCTTGCTGCCCTGGACCGCGTTCATCTCAGAGCCCTAGTGAGGGTGTGGCTGCCACCTGGATTGAACCTAGCGAGATCCCAGCAGAGAACAAGGACTCTAGCCTCCAGAACAGGAGAGAATGGGACTGTTTTAAGAGACCATGTCTGTGGTCCCTCTTATGACAGCTACAGGAAACTGATGCATCACCAAGTTGGGCCAAGGTAGCAGGGAGTCATGGGGTAAGATGGGGAAGCCACGGTATGCCTTCAGGGCTCACTGGGACCTCACCTCTAACAACATAGAAGTCCCCTTTCTTGTGTGAGCTTCTGGTTGTTTAGGTTAAAAAGCATAAAAACAAAGCAAAGACCTACAGATATTCCCAACCCGATTTGGGTATTTCCTGCTTCAGCAGCTGTGCTGAGGACCACTCACACTTCCTGTCCTGGGGGCTTTCCTCTCTCACCCCAACATGAAACTGCCTGTGTATCCTCTCCTCCTGCCCAGGCCAGCCTGGCCATACTCCCCACGCACCTTCCGTATGGCCACACCAGACACCGGTCCCTCCTTCCCACCTTCCATCCAGTCACACCAGACACTTGTCTCTGCCTCCGCCTCTTTCTCCTGGGAGGAACACCCAGAGTGGGGTTCCACTCTCCTACTATGTGGGGGAGGCCCTCTGCAGTTCCCAGGGCCCCTGACTGCTGATCCCCCTGTGATGGCCATGTCTGGCCCAGCCAGCACTCTGGGGGGACTTCTGGTCTATGACAGGAGAGTTGCAGGCTAAGCTCAGATATAAGCTGGGACTCAGCGACAGCTGCGTGATACCTTTCTGCCCACCCTGCCGGTTAGGACCACTGGAACCTTCCCAGGCTTCCGGAGCAGGGCACTTTGTCCACAGCACCCCAGGGCAGTTTGCCCTGCCCACTGTACCACAGGGTCAGGCAAGGCTCTGCCAGAGCAGGCAGGGCATGTGGAATTCGTGGGTAGATCCCTCTACCAGGACTTCTGTGGAGTGGCATTTCCTGTCCAAACAACCCACCTGAGCTTCGGCTTGGGGGTGCTGAGGACACTGTCGTCATCCTCCATGTCGGGGCCACTGTCACTGGGGTTCTCCATGTCCAGGGTGTCATACAGAAGGTCCAGGTCCTCCTCCACCTCGGGGACATGCTCTGCAGGGTCCTGTTCTGAGTCCAGGACCTGCAGGGGTGCCAGACGTGTGTAAGGGCCAGGTACGGGGTCCCTACATTTGCCCATGGCAGCCCCTTAGCAGACAACTGGAGCCACTAAACCCTGCTGCCAGCATGTTCTGAGCCCAGTTACTCCTTGAAACCGGGATGGTGTCCTAAGGACCACAGGCCCCAGACCCCAGTTGCCCATTCTTCCACCTCACCCAGGCAGATGGGCACACTTGGGCCACGGTGTGCAGGCAGGTGCCAAGTTCACGCTGCCATGTACCCCAACAACAGACTCACCTAGAAAGCTTCCCTTCCCTGTACAGGCACACTCTTCTCACCTCAGGCAACCACAGTCTGACTTCCATCCAGAGGTCTTGCCTCTTCCTGAGCATCCCATAAGAGGAGCCCCTCAGGCTGCAGGCTCCTGGGTCTGGCTTCTGATCTCAGTACAACATGTGGAAGACTCACCTGTGCCCTTGTGTTTAGCAACAGACTACCATTTTTTTTTTTTTTTTAGTTGGAATCTCACTCTGTCGCCCAGGCTGGAATGCAGTGGCATGCTCAGGACCACCCCAGTATCAACCTGCTGGGCTCTAGCGATCCTGCCACCTCAGCTTTCCAAGGAGCCGGAACTACAGGTGCGCATTATCACACCCAGATAATTTTTTTTTTTTGAGTTGGAGTCTCACTCTGTCACTCAGACGGGAGTACAGTGGCCGTTCCCAGCCACTGTGGCCTCGACCTGCTGGGCTCCGGCGATTCTTCCACCTCAGCCTCCCAAGTAGCTGGAACTACAGGTGTATGCTACCATGCCCGGCTAATTTTTGATTTATTGTAGAGATGAGGTCTCGCCAAGTTGCCCAGGCGGGTCTCAAACCCGTGGGCTCAGGCAATCCACTCACCTCGGCCTCCCAAAGTGCTGGGATTACAGGCTGAGCCACCGAGCCCGGCCTAATTTTTTATTTATTGTAGAGACGAGGTCTCGCCAAGTTGCCCAGGCTGGTCTCGAACCTGCAGGCTCAGGCAATCCACTCGCCTCAGCCTCCCAAAGTGCTAGGATTACAGGCTAAGCCACTGAGCCCGGCCAGTGACTACTTTTTACTGCCTAGTAGGATGTTACTTCGTGGACATGCCACAGCCCATGAACAAACCCCTAATGATACAGCTACCAGGATGTCACAGCTTCTGGCTATCATAGGTAAAGCTGCTGTGGGTACCTGCATGGAAGCTGGGTGAGTACATTCCCCCTCAGGTCCACATGATGATGGGACTGCTGGGTGTTTAAATGTTTCCATGGCCACTGCACCATCAATGTCAGTGCCAGATATTCCACCGACCATGGTCATTCCAGTGGGCATGAGGTGTTGTCTCCCTGTGGCCTTATGTTTTCCCAGTGACCAGCAGTCTTGACTATGTGCTTACAGGCTACTTGTCTGCCTTATTTGGAGAAATATCTATCAGAGAGAGTCTCTGCCTAGCTTTTAATTGGACAACTCATTTTTTAACAAGTGATAGTCAACTGACTAAAGTAGTTTACAGTGACTAAAGCGTCTACAGTGGTGATTCCAGCCTTGACTCTGGGCTCGACACTGATATAGTCATCTGTATGACCCCTGGGGACCATGCAGCTGAGACCTGCAGAGCTTCCAGAGTCTCCCACAGGCATTCTCCTCGCAGTGACTCTCTGGGTCTTGGCCAACATCTCAGCCTATCCTTCCACTTTGGGATGCTCTTCCTCAGCTCCTCCGACCAAGTCAGCAACACACTAGGGACTTCATAATGGGCTGGTGAGGGTAAGCCTAATTTGGGACTTGTTCTCCCTGGACCCATGGGTGACTTTCCAGTATCTTCAGAAGCCACAGCAGCACTGTGACTTCTTGACCAACCCCCTCTGCACGAATGAACAAAAAAGAGTCAGGGGCAGGTGGCCCAGAACACCACAGTGCCCTCCTCAAAGACACAGGCTGTTTTTTCATCTTTTGCTTGGGTGCTTGTCTTTTATTTTAATTAATTTTTTTGAGACAGGGTCTTGCTCTGTTGCCCAGGCTGGAGTGCAATGGCACAATCATGGCTTACCATAGCCTCTGATCAACCTGGGCTCAGGCAATCCTGTAGCTGAGACTATAGGTGCACCACTATGCCCAGATAATTTTTTTAAAATTTTTATAGAGACGAGATCTTGCTCTGTTGCCCAGGCTGGTCTCAAACTCCTGGCCTCAAGCAGTCCTCCTGCCTCAGCCTCCCAAAGTGCCAGAATTATAGGTGTAAGTCATTGTGTTTGGCTGCAACTTCCTTGTTTTGTATGTGGATATCCAGTAATTCCAGCACCATTTGCTGAAAACTCTTCTTTTCCTGTGGAGTGACCTTGACATCCTTGTGGAAAATCAATTGTCCATCAATAGAAGTGTTCATGTCTGGACTCTCCACTCTACTGTCTCAACGTCTGTCCCAGGCCTGCCCACACAGTCTTGATTACCACTGTGGCTTTGCAGTACATTCTGAAATTGGAAAGTGTAAATCTGCCAACTTTGTCCTTTTTTAAGACTGTTCAGTCCACCCTGAGGCCCTTGCATTTACATATAAATTTTAGCCAGTCAGTTTCTGCAAAAGGCAGCTTGGGAATGTGGTAGGAATTGTACTGAATCAGTACACGAACTTGGGGAGTATTCTCACCGTAGCAATCAAGTCTTCCAATTCATGAACATAGGATGTCTTTCCACTTGTTTATATATTCTTTAATTTCTTTAAAAAATGTTTTGTACATGACCCAGAAGCCTGTGACCAATACTAAGGCTCTTAGATTAAAAAAAAAAAAAAAAAATGTTTTGTAGTTTCACTGCATAAGTCTTGCCCATTTAAGCAATTTGGTTGTTTCTTTTTTGTTGTTGTTATATCTTTTCTTTTTGGGGGGGGGGATTGTGTTTCTTACTGAGTTTTGAGAGTTCTTCTTTTATTTTTTATTTTTGAGTCAGGGTCTCATTCTATCACCCAGGCAGAGTGCAAAAGAACAATTATGGCTCACTGCAGCCTCAAACTCCTGAGTTCAACTGATCTGCCTGTCTGCAGATCTGCCTGCCTCAGCCCAAGTAGTTGGGACTAAAAGTGCACACCACTGCACCCAGATAATTCTTAAATTTTTTGTGGAAGCCAGGCTCGGTGGCTCAGCCTATAATTCCAGTGCTTTGGGAGGCTGAGGTGAGTGGACTGCCTGAGCCCACGGGTTCGAGACCCGCCTGGGCAACTTGGCGAGACCTCATCTCTACGATAAATCAAAAAGATCAGCCAGGCGTGGTAGCGTGCACCTGTAGTTCCGACTCCTTGGAAGGCTGAGGTGGAAGGATCACCGGAGCCCAGCAGGTCGAGGCTGCGGTGACCGGGAGCGGCCACTGCACTCCAGTCTGGGCGACAGAGTGAGACTCCAATTCAAAAAAAAAAAATTTTTTTTTTGTGGAGACATGGTCTCACTATGTTGCCTGGGCTGCTCTCAAACTCCTGGGCTCAAGCAATCACCCCACCTCAGCCTCCCAAAGTGTTGAGATTACAGGTGTGAGCCAGTGTGCCCAACCTGAGATACACACACACACACACACACACACACACACACACACACGTACACCTCAAGTTTCACAAAAAGTATATACACATTTTAAGAGATTCCGGCCAGGCTCAGAGGAAAGCAGCCGAGAAAACCACAGTGTCCCAGTGTCTGTGGGAGGCAGAACTTGCAAGAGACGAGCTAGAGCATTTGGTGGAAGAAATCTATGCAGTGCTGAGGATGCTGCGTGGCTTCTTCTGACTGTTGACAATATAATGCAATGAGAGAGAAGGGGTTAAAGATGGGAAATACTATCAAAAGGGAAGCAGAACAAAGAGAGGCTGGCCACACTGTAAAGAATAAAAAATCAAGTTCAGAAGATAACATCAAGGGTGTGGCCAAGCGATTCTCTTTTTTTTTTGAGTTGGAATCTCACTCTGTCACCCAGACTGGAGTGCAGTGGCACATTCCAGGCCACCGCATCCTCCACCTGCTAGGCTCCAGCGATCCTTCCGCCTCAGCCTTCCAAGTAGCCAGAACTACAGGAGCGTGCTACCATGCCCAGCTGATTTTTTATTTATTGTAGAGACAAGGTCTCGCCAAGTTGCCCGGGTGGGTCTCAAACCCGCGTGCTCAGGCAATCCACTCGCCTCGGCCTCCCAAAGTACTGGGATTACAGGCTGAGCCACGAGCCCGGCCGGCCAAGCCATTCTTGATGGAAAGATTGGTGTGAACAAAAGAAACCAGCTGCTATTCCTCAAGGAGATGGGGAGTCATCCAGAGGGCTTTGGGGATCCCTGTGGCTGGCCTGCTCTTCACAGGCCCACAGTGCCAGGCCTCAGGATGGAGTGATCTCAAAGCTCTGCTCCCCACATCCAGTGCAGTGCTCCTCGGCCATGCCGGCTATGGCTCAAGAGGGCCCAGGTGTGGTATAGGCAGCAGTGGCCATCCCCTGGAGGGCCCAAGTGCCAAGCTCTGCAGCATTAACATAGTGCCAACACTAGAGGAGAGACACACAGGGTGCAAGTTCTGGGAAGATGTGGCCACTTTCTGGATCTCAATGGATGAGCAGAGAGCCTGGATCCCAGGCAGACAATGGCCACAGGGACCGAGATGTGCAGACAGGCTGGGGCCCAGGCAGACAATGGCCACAGGGGTCAGGATGCAAAGAGAGCTCCCACCAGGGTGACGCTTAGTGGAACCAAGGGGGCAGGATCACCAGGCCACAGACCTGCAGAGTCATCAATGTGCAATGCCAGCCTGAGGGAGCTATAGGCACCCGACTCTACCTCCAGGAGGGCTGCAGACTGTGACCCATGAAGATGTGTCTGTGAGGGCCTGACCCAGCAGGGCCTGGAGCCCAAGAAGATTCTTCTCACGCCTCAAGACCTGGTACAGTTTTCTTTGCTAGGTTCTGGACTCACTAGGGATCTGCTGCCCTTTCTTCCTTCTCATTTCCCCTTTTGGGATGCTAATATCTAGCAGCTGCCTGGTCCACCACCATCTTTTGAAAGCAGGTAACTCCTAACTGGGCATGGTGGGTCATACCTGTAATCCCAACACTTTGGAAGGTGGAGGCGAGAGGACTGCCTGAGCTCAGGGGATTGAGACCAACATGGGCAACTTGGCGAGACCTTATCTCTACAATAAATCAAAAAATTAGCTGAGCATGGTGGCGCATGCCTGTGGTTCCAGTTATTTGGAAGGCTAATGCGGAAGGATCACCTGAGTCCAGCAGGTCAAGGCTGTGTGCCACTGCACTCCAGCCTGGGTGACAGAGTAAGACTGCTACTAAAACAAAAAAAGAAAAAAGAAAGAAAGCAGGTAACTCCTTTAACTTCAACAGCTAGGGGAGAAGCTGCCTCTGAATGAGTCATACCTTGAGTCTCAACCACATCTGATTTAGGCAAGATTTAGATAAGATTTTGGACTTTTAACTTTTGAGTTGATGCTAGAATGAGCTATGACTTTTGGATTCCACCAGACATGGAAGTTGCCAGCACCCTGACCTTGGACTTCCAGGGTCCAGAACTGTGAACAACAAATTCTGTTTTTTTGGTTTTTTTTGTTTTTTGGTTTTTTTTTTGAGTTGGAGTCTCACTCTGTCACCCAGACTGGAGTGCAGTGGCCGCTCCCGGCCACCGCAGCCTCGACCTGCTGGTGATCCTTCCGCCTCAGCCTTCCGAGTAGCCGGAATTACAGGCGTGCGCTACCATGCCCGGCTAATTTTTTGATTTTGTTGTAGAGATGAGGTCTTGCCTGCGCAGGCGGGTCTCGAACCCGGCTCAGGCAACCCACTCACCTCAGCCTCCCAAAGGCGCAGGATTACAGGCTGAGCCACTGAGCCCGGCTAAATTCTGTTTATTTATACATTTCCCAGTCTAAGGTACTTTGTTATAGCAGCATGAACAATCTCAGATGGGCTGTGACCCAGGCAAGTGACCTCATGTCACCGTGCCTCTCCTGCCCCACCCCTCGAGGTTGTTGTGAGGGTCCCAAGCAGGGGACAGTGCCAGGTGTTGAGCTTCCCATGCCAGACCCAGCTGAGATGGTCTGGTCCTTTCAGGAAAGGGAGTAAATGTGGCAGATAAGAGAGTATGTGACTTCTACACAGACTGAGCCATAATTCCTGCAAAAAAGGCAACGCTCTCTCCCTGAGTAGTGTCCGGGCTGCTGGCCAAGTCTCTTACAATTTGCACTGTGAGTCCCAGAGAAAATTCTGTGCAGGTGAAACACATCCTGGGACTCAGTGCATCTGCCTGGGTGAGTGTGGAACCTCAGAGGCCTCAGAAGGGGTCAGCAAGGTTCCAGCTAGGAGCCTCCTTGGCCAAATGTCCCTGTCCAGCTGGCCTTGGGAACCTTCCATTTCAAGAAGCAAATGAGAAGACACAGGGGCCTGGCATACCTCTGGTACCACAGCTGCCCTTCCTCTGAGTTGACGGGCAACATGTCATGCTCAGAGCTGCTGCCTGACCGCACGGCTGTGGCACCTGTTTCTAGTACCTGCACCCAGAAGGATGTGGCTGAGCTGGTGCTGGGGGCTGGCCTGGGGTCCAGCGGCTTCCAGGATGGTCCTTGTGTGGGCGATGCATGGCTACCGTGTGCGGATAGTGGGCTTTTATGACCCTGGGTGACAATGCTGCTTTGAGGCCCAGACGCTCAAATGCCACCTCTCCACCATGGGCCCAGTCCCTGGCACTGAATTTCTTCTGACCCCCCCCCAAAAAAAGAAAGCATTTTTCCTTCGATTATGAAAATTATACAGGCTCATTGTAGAACATTTAGATATAGACTAGAGGAAAGCTACAAGAAGAAAACACAAAAGCCACAGAACGTTGCCAGGGGGAGGCTGCAAGGGCACAGGGCATGCTGTGCTTTCTGTCAGCATTGCTGTGGATCCAAACCGGTTCTGAAGGTGAAGTTTATTCATAAAACACACACCCCCATGGCTGTACCCTGAGGACGACGACTCATCTTCCTCTGTGTGTTCACAACTTGGAGTTCCCAGGGCCTGGGAGGCGGTAACCACTACTGTCACTCGCAGACAGACAGCAACGCTGACAGGGTCACAGGGTAGCAAGTGGAAGGGCCGAACAGAGCCAGAGCTGGGCTCCAGGACTCCTGCTCCCAGCCAGGACACTCAGTGAGGCCTAGGGTGATGGGCATGGGGGCCGGCTCACTCACCTCATCCGACACTTTGAACCTCCGCAGCAGGGCCACGACTTTCTGCTTGAAGTTTTGTTGCTGCAAGACAAGCAGCACAGAGTCAGAACAACATGAAGCTACTTCTCGGGAGGCTGCAGTAAGACCTGTGCCCATCCCTTGCAAGAGGGAGATGTGGCCCACACCCTGCAGGGCTCATAGGTTTCTACGTGGCTCTCAGAAGTTCTAAGCATTTGAAACCATGTGCCTAGGCCTGACAGGCCCAGGTCTGGCCAAGGGGAACTGGTGAGGGCATGTGCTAATGCCAGGGTTCTTCTAGAAGGTTCCACAGCCCTTCTCAGGCTCATTGGCCCCTTTGCTCGGCACCAGCTCCCGGGAGAGGCTCTGGCCCATTCCAGAAGGAAGGGGCTGTCACCCTGGGTGGGGAGGGCACACAGATGGTACACACTTTGTGGAGAACCCAAGCCTGTCTGTCACTGGCCACTAAGCCACTTCATGAGGACTCACCCTCCCAAGGAGGCCCACATGCCTCCCTTCACAGCAGCTGAGCCTGAGGCTCACACTGGGGCTATGTGCAGCGGGGGTGGTCCTGAGAGACACAGCTTCCCCATGGCAGGAGCAGCTCATCCATTCTGCACTGCCTGCCCTCAGCCCCTCTGAGTGCTACTATGGGAGGTGACGGCAGCTGGGGAGGGTTGTACCCATGTCCCTAGTCAGCACAGGGCCTGGGACTTCCCTGACCACCCACATGGGCCTCCCTGGGCCATGCCCATCCTGGCGTACACCGGGGGCCAAGTGTGCTCCAAGGGGTGCCAGATGTGGACCCTCGTGCTGGTGTCAGCCAGGGCTCTGAGAATGGCTGCCCAAGCTTTCCTGGGGGTAAGCCTACCCACCCTTGGCCAAGCTCCATGGGCCCCAGTGGCCAGTAGGCTAGGTCCTGAATCAAAGCGGGAGAACTGGTCACCCACAGGGCACACTGGGCGATGGACCAAGGAGGGAACAGCCTCCCCAGGTGCTGCTCATGGAGTGGGCCCCAGGCAACAAGGTGGCCACTCCAGCTATGCTCATGACCCTAAGCCTTGTGCCACATCAGGGTGGAGCCAGGACACGTGGCAATGGAGCAGCACCTAGCGGCTGGTGGCCCAGGGGAGCTGATGATGGCCAGTGCCCTGCACCTGCCTTCAAAGATGAGGTGTAGCATGGGGACTGTGCCCACAGCCATGTCTGAAAAGGGTCCCCAAGCCTCTGGAGAGCCAGCGAGGGGCTGTAGGGGACACACGGGTGCTACTGCGCCCCGGGTGGTATCTCACCTCCCTAGCTTCTCCAAGGGGACACCATCACCCCAGCCTACCCTAACCTCCCCTACCCACCCTTCCCCAGTGTTAGTGAAACCAGTCTCCACCGACCCTGGTCATGGACGTCGTTCTTACTATCGAGCGCCGCTGCTTCTTGGGCTTCCCCACATCAAAGTCATCCTCATCCAAATCCTGCAGAGACATTTGTGGCATGAGGCCTTGCAGCCCGCATGGGGCCCAATGCAACCCAGCCAGCCTCAGTGCCAGTGCCTGGGTCATGGGGAGGCCAGTCGCTGAGAACCCACTTGCAAGCCATGGCTGTGACCATGACTGGGCCCCTCCGAGCCACCGGCTAACAAGCCCAGGCACAAGGAACAGTACCACATCCCAGGGTACTGGCCCATAGCTCCCTGCCCACCCGCCCTGCACGCTGTGAGGAAGGCTGGCAAAAACCCCACAGACCTGGGCCCCACGACCCCTGGTGAGGGCTGGGAGGGGCGTGGCCAGGTCATCGCCCACAAGCCCCGCGGGTTACCTGGCCCTGCACAGCATCATCGCTGGCCTCCTGCTCGGAGGAGAAGCTCTCGTACTCCTCCTCGGAGTAGTTGTCTGTGGAATGAGCACACGGAAGGCTGGGGCCTCAACATTCCAGCCAGAGAATGTTGCAGGGGCCAGCCCAGGCTGGCCCAGGCACAGTGGGGAGCTGCGAGGAGAGAGTGCCCTCCAGAGGCCAACGGCAGCAGGCTGCGTTGCTGTGGGGCTGATGCAGACAGGGAAACGGGAGGGCGAAGGAGCCACGCAGACCTGCCTTGGGCCCCCATGGCCCCAGCTGCGGGTCTAATGCTTTGGACTGGATTTGGCTTCTATTAGATCCCTGCCTGCCCTCGGGGCGTTGGCGAAGGGACAGTGACCCCAGCTGTGACAGTGGCGGCAGCCAATGGCCACGAGTGCTGCCTAGGCTGGGATCCATGCCCGAGCCATCAAAGGCATCAATCCCCATGACACCTCTGTCTTATGGACATTCAGGGCTTTGGCCTCATGACCAAGGAGTCACATCCCCCGGGGCAGAGCAGGGACCTGCCTTAGCCCAGGCCTACGGCTGCCCATGCAACTCTGCTGTAGTCTCCGGTCAAGGGTGCTCTATGTCTACCCTGGTGCCACAAACCAGGCCAGATGGTGTTCTGCCACCCAATGTGCCAGGGCCAGGAGGTGGCCTCCCAGCAGGAGAGGGCGGGGCGGGGTCACACTCACCCGTGGACTTGGCCTTGGGACCAGCCTGCATGGTGCTGTCCTCGTGATCAATGGGCTGACTGGACAGCGACACGATCCAGATCTCGGCCACCTTGACAGAGGCCTCCTTGATGTTGCTGCAGAGGCTCAGCACCTGGCCGCCCTCAGAGGGGTGCTGCATCACCTGCAGGCAGGCGCGGTTCAGACAGTCCCGGGGAGGAGCCCACCATCCCAGCAGCACCATGTCCGGGGAACAGCTGGGCTTTCTGTAGAGCTTCCCTCCCTCAGCTGGCAAGAGAGGATGCCCCTCGGCAGAGCAGCCACAGAGCCAGGAGCGCTGGGGCAGTAATGAGGCCGGGGCAGGACGCAGGAAGAGGACTTGGGAGCCAGAAGCATGGGCAAGGAGAGGATGTGGGCTTTCTAGATAGGCTACAAGAAAAGGGGAAGTGAAGTCGTGGCCACGGTGGGTTGGGGAGGACAGAGGAGAGTCTGCAGCCCTCCGGTCTCAAGCACACTCACTGTCCTCTGCTCCACCTCTGCCTCTGCCTACCCACAGCCTCAGCAGCAGCAGAGCAGTGTGAAGCCGGTCACCCCGCCTGCCGGACCCAGTGTCCAGGGACCTGAATCGGTGGGGGACCGAGGAGAAGCAACCACTCTCACGGGCCAGGTTTGCCACAGCAGGAGGACGGTAGAGCCCCCAGTTCAAGAAACCCAACTGAACCCTCCCGACCATGGTCTGTACTGGGCACTGTGTCTATGCCCAGCCAGACTCAGAACTGCACCACAATGACAGCGAGGTCACACCACAGACTCAGGCTTCAGATGCTGCCTTCAGGGACAGCTGTTGAGACCCAAATGCTAGGATTTTATGAGTCTATTTTTTTTTTTTAATTTAGGGGCCTGATTGGCATGCTAACTCTTCAATCAATCAATCAAGAAAATACAATTTTTACGAAATTTTACACCTGCTTTCATCTCCATCTCAGAAGCAAAATTAGGAGAGTTTTCTGCCAGCACTCCCCTCTGTGCTGCTGTCCAAGCTCATGGCAGCCCAGTTGCCCTCTTGAAGCATGACCAGCCAAGCTAGATGGTACAGGGCACGAGCGTTGTATCTCAGGAGCCAATGTCTGCATGGGCTGAGCCCTCGCTGGACGTCTTACAACACGGGATAGATGGGGGGGTAGGGGCTGCCTAGTTGCTGGTTCAGGAAGGAGGGGTGAGGGCTCAGGCAGTGGGGTCTGGGTGTGAAGGGATGCAACTGACACTCTGAAAAACATAGCAGGACTTGTCAACACCTGTGCACACTAGCACACACCAGCACAACCAGATCACACCTGTACATACCAGTCTACACCTGTGCATACCAGCTCACACCTGTGTAGTCGGCTCACATTTGCACAACCAGCTAATACCTGCACATACCAGCTCATATTCTCACACCTACACATATCAGTTCACACCTGCACAAACAGCTCAAACTTGCACACATTAGGTCACACCTGTGTACAGCAGCTCATACCTGCACACACCAGCTCACTTTCTCACTCCTATGAACACCAGCACAACCAGCTCACACTTTCTCACACCTGCACACACCAGCTTACACCTGTGTACATCGACCTCCACAGGACCCAAACAGGGCTGGGCCCTTTTCTAAGGAAACTGCTCACAGCACCCACCATCCTATCAAAATCGAGGCAAGACCCTCCACCACAAGTAGATGACAACTCACTGAGGGCAAGGACGATTGTCTTTTTTTTTTGTAAGGAATAAAGTACTTTAAATTTAGGTATGTATCTACTTTTTGACATAATGTTGTTGCACCCTTAACAGACTAGTGTTGAGACAGCATAAGTTTTGTGAGTACTGGGATACCAAGACTTGAGACTTGTTTTATTTTAACATCTGCTCACTGCAGTGCCCAGAACAAGCCTATGTAAAAGACACCTGTGCACCTAGGCTCAAGTCCTGCAGGTGTGGCTACTGAACATGCTGGCAGTTGCTGCAAAACGGTGCACATCTGTGCATCTAAACACATCTAGACTGGGAAAGGTATAGTCAAAACATGGTACAAGAGACAAAAGCAGTCACTTGTCACGAGCCCTTGAGGCCTACAGGATGACAACACAGAATGAGCAGGCTGTGGGGCTAGATGTCCCACCACAGCACTGCAGACTTCACAGATTCCCTGGGCTCAGGCCGGCTGCACTTATTTTTTCATTTATTGTAGAGATGAGGTCCTGTCAAGTTGCCCAGGCTGGTCTCAAACCCCTGGGCTCAGGCAATCCTCTTGCCTTGGCCTCCCAAAGTACTGGGATTATAGACATGAGCCATTGCCCCCAGCCAGGCCATTTACACTTATTTAAAAAACAGCATAATTGAGCTATGACATTATGATGGCTACGTTGTTACCAGGTGACTGGGACCTTCCAGGGTCACTGTAACCTCACTCCATCAGGGCCACTGTGACCTCACGTTACCAGGCAACCAGAACCTTTCAGCGCCACCATGACCTCACATTACTGGGTGACTGGGACCTTCCAGGGCCACCATGACCTCAGTTACTGGGCAACTGGGACCCTCCAGGACCACTGTGACCTCAAAGGGCCTCAGTTGGCCATGCAGGCTACCGTTACCAAACTGACACTACAAAGTGCACAGCTACAGATGCTCACAGGAACAAATTGAAGTGCCATGTGCAAATGGTGGTCACGGGTGAAGGCTTAGCCCATGCCCACCCTGCAGGTCTTCTACACATCCACTGGGCCGCCATATCCCCTGGACACTTGGGCCCCCAGGTCTCCTTGGCTGGACCTACCCCAAGGGACGTGTGGGGAGGACCTCAAGAGGCAGCACCCAACGGCTCCCTCGGCCACCACCATATTTCCAGATCAGCCCAAGGTACCTGCTGAGCCCTGCAGCCTGGTCACTTCCAAGTCCTACCAAGGACCCCCCAAGCCCAGTCTCAGATGGTGTCTGACCAGCTGGGACTCCTGTGTCCAGCAGGCTGCACCCTGGTGTGGTCTGACCACACTCACGCTCCCCATACAATGGGCACAAGGGTGGGTCCCAAGAGCCACAAAGGAACTCAAGCTGCCATGTCTACCTTCTGCGCATCTCCCTCTGCATGATGGACCCATGGGCACCTGCTGGCATCTCGGCTATCCCGAGAGGTGGACAAAAAGACAGCAAGTGGAAGCAGGCAGTCCTGGGCAGGGCTATGCAGGCCATGGAGCACCAGGCCTGCCTCATGGTTCAGCCAGGAGGGGCCCAGGTCAGAGGCTGCTGGATCAGTTCACAGGTCTAAGCTACCCCACACCAGCATGCCATCTGTGGCACTCGCTGGGATCCAGCTTCCCCCCCTCAGCCCATGGACCTCAACTCCTCGGTCTCAGCCCCAAGTGAGGACTGCAGGGAGGCCCACCTGGAACACACACCCTGCAGGGCCAGAGCTGGGACGAGGCAGAGGCCCAAGTTGCTGCTGGCCTCCTACCCACTGTTAATGCATTCACCTGAGACCTCTGTCCCTGTGGCCCTTACCACCTCCTCTACCTATACCAGGCCCTGGGCAGGTGCTCTCACAGATCACACGGTGGCTCAGTGATGGAGGGGGTGAAGGGTGAAGTCACTACTGCTCGAGGCCTTGCCACCACAAATGATGCCAGCCCCACCCCCACCGATACCCCACCTTGCCCCTCCTACAACCAGGCTATGGCAGCATCCACACCAGCTCTGGCCCCCTCAGGTATGCAGTCTCAGAGCCACACCCCAGGCCCTCCTACAAGGCCGCCTGACCCCACCTGGTGAGAGCCTGGCCTCCACCTGCCCTGGCACTCATCTGTGCCCCACTTGGACCTCAACTGTCCTGAGACTCCACTCATCACCCACACCCACAATGCCACTCAATAGGCTCACGGGGCTCATGGGTGGGGAAACAGCCACCACACGCAGTAGGACACAGTAAGGGCAAAACCACCCTCGTGCTGGGGGACACATGGGTGACCTGATCTGGTCCTGAAAGGAGGCATCCAGAGTGTCTGAAGGAGAGAGGGTAGTTGGGAAGGGTGAGGGGAAGTCAAGCAACTTTGTTTTAGGGGGGCCACAGGCGATGGCGGGGGCAGGGCTGTTGTGGGCCACGTGCAGGGACTGGGCTTTTCTCCCAAGGGCAAAGGGAAGTGCCCTTCGAGAATGTCACTCTCGTGGCAGGCAGACTCCCAGCAGAGGCAGGATGGGGCCAGACCTAGCACTGAGTACAGAGGTAAGGGCCTCTGGTGGGGACACAGGTGCAGTGGCTGCATAGGGGACAGGCAGCACAAGAGCTCTGGCCACTGAGTTGGGGTGTATGGAGGCAGAGCTGTGGGTGCAGCCGGTTGGGCCTGTGGCTGATGCCACCCAGGGCTACAGGGATCCACAGGCACTGCCTGTGTGGCTAATGGAGAGTGGGATAGCACAAGCCTTGTTCCAGTGTCCTCCCAGAGAGAGGACACAGTGCCCTATAGGCAGCCTCACGGCCCGAGGGCAGCTCTGAATCTTCTGAGGTCTCATGACTCAACAGGTGGCAGGAGGCTGGGGTGACCAGGCCCCTAAGGAGTTTAGGCCTGGATACCTGTTCTGCTCCCACTGTCTGCATCTGTGGAAGGGACCCAGAGAATCAGGAGGACCCAGAGGCCTGTCTGAGGCTAGGTCGCAGACCACAGCCACTCTCTGCATCCCACAGGCCGTGCCTCCCTGGGCGGCAGAGCGGGGTGGGCCCACAGCCACATCTGGCGCTTGCCCCGGATGAGTGTGTGAGGGCAGGAGGACCCAGTGCCTGATCTGCCCTCGCCAGGGAGCCAGGAGACCTGCAGGCTTGCGAAGGCATGGGGGGACGGGCTGCAGGGGGCACCCACTGCTAAACCATTCAGAAGACGTGAGGCCCAGGGAGCAGTGGTAGTGGCAGGATGGGGAGGGCCCGAGTACCCCAGCAGCTCTAGTCCATGGGATCACAGGCGGGCACAAGAGCTCCACGGGCACCGAACCCTGCCGACACTGGCAGCCTCTACATGCAACTCCATGACAGGGAAGATCTAAGGCAGGAGGGACAGAGCCTACCCCACAGACCCAGAAGACCCGTGAGAAAGTGTGAGCTCCTCTGCAGGGTGTCTCTTCTGCACCCACAGCCCCCAACCCTGTAGCTCCCTCCCAGCCCCTGGCTCCTGAGGACATGGTCCCCCAGAACAACGGCAACCACGTGGCTGTGTTTCTCAGAATACGTCCTCTTGTTTTCTCTCCAGGGAACTTTGCTGTCAAGATACCCCCTGACCAGACTAGCAGGTACCACCCCTGGTGCCACCCTACCCTCCCCAGAGGCCCCTGTGTCACCACAGCCCATCCTATTCCTCCAGTCCCAGGCCTGAGCATGTGCTAAGCAGATGTGGACTGCACCACAGAAGGAACTGGCCAGGGACTTGCAGCAGCCAGGGTAGGGCTCCAGGACACACGACCCCAAATCCAGCCTACACCGACATGCGGGACAGGCCTGCTCCAGGGGTGCACATGGGACCACAGGCATGGGCCGGAGTCAGGGAGGAGCCACCCTAGAGGACGGCCTGACCTCACATCTCCTCAGTCATCTCAAGAGAAGGGATATAAGGCCTGGAGAGAAACCTGCACGTGGTGCTTGATGTTGGGAGGACGACTGTCATGCCACCCAGCACTCACCTCGGCCATGTTGACAGAGCCTGCGGCCAGCGTCTTATAGCCCAGGATGGTCCGGTTCTTGTAGCGCTTCCGGCGCTGCAGCAGGATCTGTAGCTTATTGCCCTCTCTCTTCAGGAAGTGAGGATACTGTGAGGGCAAATGCAAGTTGCAGCCTGAAGGCGCGTCATGGCCCTGGTGGCCACCCTGTGACCTGGTTAGCCTGACACCTGCCTAGCCATGAAGCACGACCGCAGACGCACACCCAAGGTCCATCCAGGGCCACGCAAGTCCCCAGGGGCCCCTAACTCACTTAGCATCAACAGGCACAGCAAGGCATGGAAGCTCAGACCCTGGTAGGCACTGCACAGCCTAGGCTCCACATCAACAGCTGAATGCAGACCACCTGCCGAGGCGTGTCGATGAGTCCTGTATATCTGAGGTGCCAGAGCAGCCTGGCCACTCATCCATCTGAGGGAATTGGCAAGGTGTGACCTAGGACACCCTCATACAGTGACGTGAGATAGGGGTGCTTCCATGAGTGGCACTGCCTACCTCCACGGCCACTGAGGGCCCCGTGCCCACGCCTAGCTCACTGCATAGCTCACAACAGAGGCTGTCACAGTCCAGCAGAGCTTGTGGGCACAGAGCTGCTATCCTCAGAGTTCACAGATGAGAACCTACTGAGACCCTGTGGGGAGGGTGGGGGGAGACAGGATTGACCCCACCTGGCCCTTGTGACAGTCACCTGCCTGTGCACGCTTGTCAAAACCCACAGAACCATGAACTGAAAAAGGGCGAATTGTACATTTTGGAAATATGTTTTAATAAACTCAACTCTCTAAAAAAGAAAAATACCAACCACAAAAAAACCCAGAACTGCTGTGTGGGTATCTGTCCCATGCCAGCCAGTTGGCCATGTGTCACCAGTGGGATGAGCAAAGGGTGTACAGCGGGTTCCCATGCACCTCACTAACCACAGCCCCAGCTCACACATTTAAATGACAAAAGAGGATTTTTTCTGAGTTGGAGTCTCACTCCGTTGTCCAAGCTGGTGTGCAGTGGCATGCTCACAGCCACCCCAACGTCAACCCGCTGGGCTCAGCCGATCCTTCCATCTCAGCCTTCCAAGTAGTCAGAACTATAGGCAAACGCTACTACGCCCAGCTAATTTTTTGATTTACCGTAGAGATGAGGTCTCGCCAAGTTAACCAGGCTGTTTCGAACCTGTGAACTCAGGCAATCCCCTTACCTCAGCCTCCCAAATTGCTGGAATTACAGGTTTGAGCCACTACGCCCAGCTGAAAAGAGGATTTTTTAATGGATTTGGGGTGAGTCGAAACTGATGCATTTTAAACCTTTCAAGCAAGTGTATTAAGGCAGAAGAAAATGCACCTGCTACATCTATATAACACCAATTGTGTGACGATTCAGCAAGGAGACCAGGTGAGATGATGAGCCACTGGGGCGAGCAGGGTCCCTGATGGGCCAGGGTTCTGGAAGGTCCAGGGAGAGGGCTCTGCTCCATTCCAGGAGTCTCAGGAGAGACCCAGAGGAAGGTCTACACTAGGCTGAGGGTCCTTAGTCACCGCCGGGCACGCCCTGAGTTTAAAATTCTGAGGCTGAAGAGATTTCCCCCCAACTTTTCTAAATACTAAGAAAAAATTACCTTAACTCAGTAATTTTTTTGGCCACATGATTAAATTATTTTTATCAAGGAAATAAAATGAAAAACTCAACCCAATAAACCAAAGGGTATACTTCACCCCAAGTGACAGGTGAGGAGGTGTCCATCACCAGGTGACACTATGAGGAGGAGCCCATCACTTCAGTTGACACTATGAGGTGTCCTTCACCCCAAGTGACACTATAAGGAGGTGTCCATCACCAGGTGACACTATGAGGAGGAGCCCATCTCCCCAGGTGACAATATGAGGAGGTGTCTATCACCCTGGGTAACACTAAGAGGAGCTGTCCCTCACCCCAGATGACACTAAGAGGAGGAGTCCTTCACCCCAGGTGACACTATGAGGAGGTGTCCAACACCCCAGGTGACATTATGCGGAGGTGTTCAATACCCCAGGTGACATTATGAGGTGCTAAACATCCTAGGTGACATTATGAGATGTCCATCACTGAGATGACAGTACGAGGAGGTACCTAACACCCCAGGTGACAGTATGGTGTCCTTCACCCAAGATGACACTATGAGGAGGTGTCCATCATCCCAGATGACACTATGAGGAGGTACTCAACACCCCAGGTGACACTTGTGGGGGTGTCCCATCACCCTCGCAGGACGCACCTGCAGTGAGAAGGTCAGGGCCAGGTCAGTTTCTACTTGTCCACTGGGGGGCAGCACAATCTCATGGGACCGCAGGATCCGCTTGGAGCCCTGGGAGGAAACAAGGTCTTCTAGTTACTAGAGGGCATCCAGGATGGAACCAGGGAAAGGTGTCTGTCCCGCATGCTCCAGGGCTAAGGACACATGTACATTCTGGGGGCACCTGGGATACTTATCAGAAACTTTACAGACATCCAGACCTCCAGTCCACTGATTCCACCTCTTGGAACCACCCTGGGCCATGAGGGAGAAAGTCATGAACAGCCACTGTCCAGGCAAAGAGCCACCACACCCTGATATGACCCAGCATTACAGGACTGGACCCTGTAGTGCCTGAGCTCCTTGTGGACAGTCACCATTACACACCCTCCTTGGGCTTCAGCAGTCACACAGAAGGGTATCCCCACCCTCCGAGGCTGCCGGGGAGAGGCGCCCATGAGTGCTGCACGGGCCAGGAAGTCCCATAGAGGTCAGCCCCACAGAGTGGTGCCATCCCCCGGGAGTGGGCCTGGAGCCCAGCAGTCCCCGCAAAGGGTAGAGGTATCCTGTCATAGGGACACCTCCTGGTTGGGCCACTGGGCACTGGCAGTCATAGGGACACCTCCTGGCTGGGCCACTGGGCAAAGGCTGCGCTGTGAGGGAGCAGGTCACAGCTGCTCTATTCCAGGGACAGAGCAGGCCTGGCCCAGGCTTGGACAGGAGACCAGCACAGCTCCTCCTGAAACAGCCACTTATGCAAAGCCCCAAACGAAACCAAACAGAAGCCAGGATGGGCTCAACAGAAGAGCCTGCAAGGTGGCAGGGCCCAGCCGGGGTCAGCAGGGAGGTCTTAGGACCAGGGGCCGGAATCTGGGGTTAGTCCCACCTCCCAGAGCCTCCTGCTCCTCCTCCTGCCAAGCCCCTAATACTGTGGAAGGCAGGAGAGAGGGTGCAGGCTGGGGTGGGCACTGGGTGGGACACTGCAGTCCCCGCTCCAGGTGTTCCCAGCACGTCATCAAGGATGACCCAAGGGTACTTGCCCAGGGAAGGCCCCTGTGCCAGTGACTCTGTGTCCCAGAAGGCTGGACGTGCCTGCACTGCCAGGAGACAGGACTACACTCCAGGAGGGGTCCAGCCTGCTTGTTCCCAGGGCCCTGGGTTCACTGAGATATACCAGTTGCCGCTGCCCCAGGGCCAGCCCCATGTGGTCTCCTGATGCTGGAGGCATGTGGGGAGTGTGGGGAGCCTCACCTGCATCTTGACGGCGATCACCACGGAGATGAGTTCCTTCTCCAGTTCCTTGAAGACCACCAGCTTCTTCAGGGTCAGGCTACACAACCTGCGGGGAGAGGCTGGGTCAGGGTAGCCTGGGGTGGTGCCTCCGCTCTGCCTACCCTTCCCCTTCCCCTGCCCCTCCGCTTGGCCTGGTGCTCTCCCAAAGACTGGCTGTCTCACATGCAGGCAGTCCCTCAGCACCCGTGGGCTGCCGAGCTGGGGGTCCCCTCTCCTGAGGGTCCCGGAGGGCAGGTGCCCCTCCTTTGGAGGTGGCTCAGCATGGGTGTGTGGCCAGACAGGCAGAAGGAAGGATGGGCCACAGAAAGAAAACCCAAGAAGCCTGAGTCTGAGACCCACCCCAGGGCCAGCATTTCCAACCCCAGATGGTCGTCTATCCCAGGCCCAGCCTCCCTCCCTGCAGACGGACACCCACCCCAGATGGCCGCTCACCCCAAACCCAGCCTCCCCAACCCCAGATGCCTGTCCACCCCAGGCCCAGCCTCCCCCACTCCAGATGGTCATTCACCTTAGGCCCAGCCTCCCCCATCCCAGACGGCCGTCCACCCAAGGCCTGGCCTCCCCCATCCCTGATGGCTGCCCAACCCAAGCCCAGCCAATCCCACCCCAGACAGCCGTCCATCCCAGGCCTGGTCTCCCTCATCCAGCCCCCGGACCTCGCCACCCAGGCCTAGCCTCTCCATCCCTCCACCCCCCCAGCCCCGTATCATCCAAACCTCCCACCCAGCTCCCGTGGCTGGCATGAGCTCTCTCCTGACTCCTCCTTCTTACACCTCCACAGGAATCCTAGAGGCGCCTGGGACAGCCCAGAGGACAAGCCCACAGTCCACAGACTCTGCTCCTGGGGAACGGAGGATGCAGACCAGCTGCTCTGCTTGGTAAACAAACAACTGCTAGATCCCTGGACCCATCCGGAAAAGATGCCCAGAGCACCCACCCACTCCCAAGGGTGCGTGGGGTGCAGCATTTGCACTGGCAAGCTTTTTACAGCTCACCTTGAGGCCTGGCCTGTTTCTGCTTCCATGGGATGGGTAGGGGGCGGGGGATGGGGGGCAGGGGTTGGGTGTTGAGGCGCCACCTCAGGGATTTGGATGGCACCTCCTGCCTATCACGGCATCAGAGTCCTGTACAGTCGAGTATGTGTTGGGCCTGGCACCCACTCCTAGACCACTGCTTGGCCCTCCAAGCATGAATCTGCAGCAGTGGGATAGACACCAAACATGACCGGTCATGAAATGCAGCTGTGCACCAGCATCACAGTGATCACCACATCATCCCCATGCCTGAGAGCCGCATGTAGGACCTGGGTGGGAAGGAGGGCCTGAGCTCTTTAGTGCACACTCCTGTGCCAAGGGGCGGGAGTACTGGGTGGGCAGCAGCTCAGGTCTGAGTGGGACCAGGGCCAGGACAGGCTATGTGGCCTTAGGATATCACATGAGCTCCCTGAACACCTGCCAACCTGCTCGTGAGATGGAGACCCCAGTCTTTTAGACAAAAAGGCATGGAGCTTAGACAACTGGAATGAAGAAACTAAATAGATGTCTGCATGCATCTTGTAAGTCACTCTCTCAGCTAGAGTCAGGCCAGTTTGCTACAGCAGCGGTGTCTGCACAGGTGCTCACTGAAACCACCTGCATTTGAGTCATTCTCAATGCCACTTGAGACAAGAGGAGTCAGGAGTCAAGTCAGAGTCTCCTAGGATGTGGCAGGAACACAGAAGGTACCCACATGTCTGAGAGCTGAGCAGAGCCAAGCCCAGGAAGCAAGGTCCTGTTCTGACAGGCAGCTCCCCCAGTGGGGACACCCTCACCCCCAGGTCTGCCCATCAAGGCTAAGCTGATCCCAGCATGCCCATCTCACCGAGCAAATAGAATGCAAGAGAAAAAAAGAGAGAAATTAAGAGAGAGTTAATACAAATCAGGATAGATAAAACAATTCTTAACAAATGCAAAAGCATTGAAATGCAAGAGTACTTCTCTGGTCAAACTGGAACTGGACTAGAAATCAACCATAGAAAGACAGCTGGAAAATACACACTACTCAGGAAACTAAAAACATGCTCCTCAACAGCCTACAGGACAGAGAGAAATCTCACAGGAAATTAGAAAATACTCTGAATGGAACGAAAATGAAAACACATGTCAAAATGTGTGGGATACAGGTAAAGCAGTGCTGAGAGGGGAACTGATAGCCTTAAGTGCTTCTGTAAGAAAAGGAGAGATTCAAATAAACAATCTAAGCTTCCATCTTAAACAACTAGAAAAAAGAACAAATTAACCCCAAAATAAGCATAAGAAAGGACATAATCAAGATAAAGAAGAAACAACTTTAAAAACAGAAAAACAGGCCAGGCACCCTGGCTTACTCCTGTAATCCCAGTTACTCTGGGAGGCTGAGACAGGAGGATCACTTGAACAGTAAGGCAAGACCCCTGTCTCTACATAAAAAATTAAAAATTAGCTAGGCATAGTGATGCCCACCTGTAGTTCCAGTTACCAGGGAGACTGAGGCAGGAGGACCACTTGAACCCAGGAGTTCAAGGCTGCAGCAAGCCATGATTACTCCACTGCACTCCAGCCTGGGACAGAGCAAGACCCTGTGTGAGGGAGGGGGAGGGGAAGGGG